ACACAGCTTAAAATGAATCTGAAATATTTCAAGTTTCCATATAGAGCAAAGAGACGAAAACTGAGTTTTGAAAATTCCAAGTGATAATATTTGTCCCTAGAATTTTTTGTTATTTTTTGGAAATACGAGCAACCTAATGGACATATTCACTCTGGAAGAACTCCTTACCTGTATCATTAGGCCTCCATAGCTGTAACAGAGGTACTATATTAATCATATGTATTGAAGATATGTTGATTCTTTCAATATGTTATGAAGAATATGAAAGCTAGAGAGAAAAATTTTGGAAATACAGGACTAAAGGACACTTTATGGCTGCAAGAATACTTGATTTCTTTTACCTAAATAGTCTTGAATCAGGAGAGTTCCTAGTCATGTTCACTGAAGACTTTAGAAAACATGTTTAAAAATATATGAGAGGGATGTATAATCAGGAGTATTAGAGATATGACTCTATGTAAGGTAATTCAAATAGCTAATCATTAAAACAGTAAAGGATATAGCATGACCTCTAGCCTACACAGGAAAGATTGTGCTACCACATATGAAGTAGCTTATGAGATTGCTTGTATGTTTCTAGAGACTAATCTTACTGAATTTGTCAATGAATAATTTTCTATGTGGATTTCATCAGAAGCTGATGTTTATAGATATAAAGGTCTGAAAAGTCCATTAAAGAAATGAATCTCATTTTTAGTGCAATATGACTTTACCTGATACATTTTTTATTTGAGAAGAATATTTTTACCAAGTTGTGCAGTCTTTATTTAAAATGATAGAAACTTCATCACATCTTGTGATAGGTTATGCCAGTATTTAATTATCTTCCAGGTGGAAAAATACAGCTCTTTCCAGTTAGTCTGATTGTGTGCAGTATGAAAATCTGATCTTATTGCGCCCTTTTACTGCAAGAATATTTCGAGAACTCTCTCTACCTTAATGCTTCTTTTGAAGTAAACCTTTTTTGGGAAGCAAATAGAATATATTGATTTTTTAAATTTTTACACTTTAAGTTATGGTTTATTTAAGTTTTATATTTTTGTCAAGTTTTATTAATTTTTATGTCATATTTGCTCTGAATTTATTCATAACTTCTGCTTTTTGTTCTAGTTTTTCTGTTCTGAAATGAATTTTCAAGCCAACAATAACCACTTGAATGTTTCTAATAATAGTCTCACAAATTTCATTTACAGAAATAAATGAAAGAATTTCACTATCTAACTGTAGAAGGTTTCATTTGCTTTGTAGCAAAACCTTTGATTTGAAAGTATCTTGCCTATAGGCAATGAATCCTTTAAAGTAGTGTTTCCTTTTCTCCTTCAGATATATACCCATGGCTGCAAAAGAGTCTATTGTTCATAAAGCCTAAGGAATTCAGTTTGGCCTATCAAAATGATCCAAATTTGTCATTACTTATCACTCTTTTCTCATATATGTTGAGTAACAATACAGCCTATTATTCATCACAAGAGAGTAATGTGCAATTTGACAAGAGAAGTATAGCTGAAAAGTCACTTTCAGGAAGTGGTATTTCCAAAACCTTTGCACTGATCTCTTAGAATTAAATATCTTCGGTAAATGATCAGATGAGCAGGTAATCAGAAAGGGTAGATTAAATAGAGAAAAATGGATTGTATTTCTCCTTAAATGTGTACAATGCAAGAAGGTCATATGGGTTTGTTCTCTTTGCTCCTGAAGGAACAGAGGAATTGTGTAAGAAGCAAAGAACACAGTGAGCCTAGGCTCTCTTGCATTATGTATTAATAAATGTCTCTGGGAAAAACAGAATAATTGTCAGTGAACAAAGGCTGCTAGTTCCTGTATGATGAGCTGCTTTAGGAAATGTTTCTGTGTCTCAGCTCAGCCTCAGACAGCTGTAGCTAGTGCAGTGTAACCTTGCTAATTTATTAGTTTTTCTGTTCAGAATTGACTAAATTGTAAAATACAGTAAAATGTTCTAATCTCAGCCATGGCATTCTGCTCTTATATTGATGAAATAATGCATGTTGAAAAACAGGAGAGCATCCTGTTCCAAAAAATAAAAGGGAGTGAGAAAGAAGAGGAGATGAGAAGTATCCAAGATATGCTATTCTACCATCTCGAGACCTCAGCCAGGAAATGCTTCCTGAATCTGTTGTGACTCTTAAATTCTGCAAACCATATGTGAAAGACAAGTGTTCATGGAAAATAGTGTGGTATTCTACAAGGAAAATAATTGTAAATTATTCCTTTCTCTGCGGCTTTTAAAGATGGAATCTCTGTGCATATAAATTCCAAACAGATATATTCATTCCCTTTGTTAATGTTATTGTGTGAGATGTTTGCTTCTGAATTTCCCCCAGTAACCAGGGGAGGTCACCAGGAGGAGACAGATTTAGGTGGCAGAATAGTAGTAAAGCCATGTCTGAGCCCCAGCTTGCTGCAGACAGTTTCTTCTTCATATCTCTGATCTACCAATACCATCGGTGTCGTCTCAATGGTGCATTCAACACCAGGCCACTCGTGGGATAAGAAAAGGCAAAAGACCCAGGACGAAAAGTAGTCCAGCAAAGGCATATTAATCCTCCCAGGAAGGCAGCCCAATGCATCCTTGGCTTTCCAGCTGTGACACAAGAGGAATGTCCAAGTGTCTGTTCTACAGCTGTTTCACTCTTTCATTGTGAGTAACATAACAAAAATTTATATGGATGTCTAGCAAAATGCCCTGTGGTTTGTTTGTTTCCCAAACTAATGGTTTGTTTCCCAATAGTTCTCCAGCTGTGACAGTGACTAACTGAATCTTTCAGGGGTACAGAATATGCTTGAAATGCCTATTACCTTTACCTTAGGAAAGATACCAAATTTCTTTATGAATGCAGAGTTCCACAACTGAACCATATTCTCTGCTAAATTTTGGTTACAGAAGATATCCTTGCTTTCCTATTGAATTTGGACTAGATACTGCTTACATTCTCAGTAGCACCCTGCTCTTTCATTGTTTTCTTTGTTTATTTTACTCTTAGATTTGCTTGTTTTGCTGAAGAACTCCTCTGCATTTTTGTTTTATGCTGTAATTCTTCCTTACTTTATTGCTAACCCCAGCAGCACATGTAAAGGACTACTGCACAATGAATAATTAATCTGACAAATTTAGCCTCTTCAAAAAGATTTCCATTAATGCCTTTGTTTCATAGAAGTATTTTTGGAACATGGCTGAATTTTGCTCTGTATTAATCATGCACCTATGTGACAACTTGCTATTTGTAATCAGGACATGTAGGTTACTTGTGAGAGCCTGGATAAGTTACGTGTTATTGCTTCTATTCTTCATTTAGCTGTGCACACAAAACCTGGCATACAACTGCTTGTATGTATGTGTGTAGAGCCAAATTTCTGTGCTGGCAAAGTTCCACGGTTGCACCACCAGAGAATTAGGCCATCTACATTCAGTTTCTGTGACTCTTTGAAAAGAGTTTAACATTTACTCGCCAGTAATGTTTATACCAGATCAGCAGGAGTGGAAAGAGACACAAGCAGAGCCAAAAACATTTGTCTAAAAATTTGGTCAAGTAGTCATGGACAATTACTTGAAATAATAACCCTGAGTACCATTTATCATCACTGATCATTAGTAGTTTTATTAATAGAACTGTTACTGTTTCTTGTGTCCAGGATTTATTATGTAGTGAGGACTCAACTTTTATTGGAACACTAATGTGTAAAATGGTGTTTGAACTTGTATTTTTGCTTTTCCTAGCATTCTCTTAGCGATAATGGCTGGCTGTGGATAGTACTTGAGTTCAATAATAACTACTAAATCTTTCAGCTGTAACTAATTTTCTTTTAATAATAATACGTACCATTTTGCATTGTCTATTTTCATATTCAGCAGTCCTTTCATATACTAATTACTCCATAAATAAACAATCTTACCAGATGGATCAATCATTGTCCCTACCTTTCATGCAGAAATAAAAAGGAATCTTCAGGCTAAGCTCTTAATTTTGGCTGCCTCACATTGAGGATTGTTTCATGAAACCTGGGTGACATTGTGGGGTGCAAACCATTTATTTATTCCCAAATGGAATATCTCCATACATACAATGTCTTCTGTGTTCTGTGACTCTGAAGTGATGAGTGTGAGTTCAAAAAGGATTATTTGAGGCACTTGCCCTAAGGATCAGTAAAAGACAACAAAACTTAGGTGTTTATAATTCCCACTTCTGGGGTGAGTTTTTGTCTTTAATATACCTGCCCCATAATGCTATCTGACTATTTTATGTATTGATTGTTCTGTTGAGTATACAACAAATTACAAAATGCATGTATGTATCAAAAGGAATTTCAAGCATTGTATTGTATGGCATTTGCAAATTACACACGACAGCAGGAAATTACTCTGCTTGTCCATTACATTGCTCTGCTGAAAGAACACGTCTGCTTCTAAATTCAGTGAATATTTATACTCAAATATTTTGACAGTGGTGAATAACATATGTGCTAATATGTACAGAACAGAATAAAAGATTGGCTAAGATTTGAAGTGACTAGTGGTTTCACACATGTAGTTGGAAGATCTTGGTTCTCACTGTGTGAAAGCTTAACATTTCCTAAAGAACTCCAGCCCAGAAGTTACTTTAATAGAATCCACAGAATAAAACTACTTCTCTTAACCACGACTGCTAGTGATTTTAGAAATACATAGCACTGAGCTACACTATTTATTTACTCTACCTATCTACCTGACTGGGATCCACAGAACCTATCCTATCCACTGTAGTTTTCCTGGCTACTTTTACACAGCCAGAGTAAGACATTTCAACATCATTATTTGTTTATTGCTAAATACAAACATTTTTTATTAAATATATTTATTAATGTTAATAATAATAATATTATTTTCACTGTGGTAACAATAATCTCAGGATCAGTATTCACCTCAGGCAATGTAACAGAATATGATGTTATATTAGGGTAGAAATGCAAGAGTAAGGAAATTGAGTAACACCATAAATGTTTACCTCAAGAGAAGTGCATGGATAGCTGATCTTCACCAACACTGGACCTGGAAGGAGCAGGAGTACATTAATGTGATGTGTGCACTCATTAGACTTATGCCAAAAATTCAGGACTATTCTATCTTGTGGACAAAGTATCCTGTCACGGCTACCCTATGCTATGTGCCCTTTTCCTGATTCTGGCCCAAAGCTGTGGAAGGGGATAGTACAATTCTTCCCTTGCAGTACAATTTTAAGACAATTGTCCATTTCACGGCACTGACATACGCCCAAAAATGATGTCTCCATGGTTGTAACCCTTGCTTGCTTCCTATCACAAGCTTCCATAGGACTTCTGTCTGAAGTTCACTCAGAAAAATGATGATCAGGACAACTATCAACAAAGCTGGTAGTCAACAAACAAGCACAAAATGTGAAAAACACAAGAGAATATCCTCATAAGCATTGAAAGGGAAGGTGAGTGACCAGAATCAGCTGGTTTGGAATGGCAGATAAATAGGGGTTACCACACCTTTTGAACCGACAGGGTGCTTGCTTCTTTGATGACTTTGAATTGAGAAATCAGCAGAAAAATCCTGACCACGACTCCGCTGATAAAAGTGTATCAATATTTTATATCTTACTTTCCTCTATTTTCTCTGTTCTTATATCTAACATATCCTCCTGATGCCTAAATGGGAATTGAACCATGCTCAAAGATGTGCAACAGATAAAAAGCAGTATTTTCAGCAGTAACTGCTTATTCACACGTGAAGCCTCTCAATCTTTTGCTAACATTCTCAACCCAGTTATCTACACAACTCAACTTCTAGGTATACTCAAAACCTAGCAAGTCTTTCTGCTTTTAAAACATTCCCTCCTGCATTCCTCAACACACTCTATCAATTTTTTGGTTTTATTTACCTTATATTTTGGAAAACTTGCACTATAAATAAAAAAATATTTCCCCAAACTGAATACAGTCTTACACATAAAGTTTTGGTTGATTGATTAGATAGTTGGTAGTGTGTTTTGTTGGGGTTTTTTAATAGTCACAGTGAAAACTATTCATGCCTCTAGTTCAGAATGCTATTTGGTAACATCGTTATAAAATTATATATTTATGCTAAGATATGTCTCGTCCCTTTGATCAGCCTTTCCCCTCAAACCCAGAGTATAAATGTATAAATGACAGAAATACTCCCCAGTTCCATTTAGTGTTGTCTATAAGTGGCTAGTTACTTGTTTTGAGATATTTAATTGTTTGGAGACAAGATATCTTTTGTTGTCTCACAGCTAACAGGCTCTTTTAGTGGGACAGCAATATCTAGAACAAAAATTTGACCCAAATTGTCCTCAAGGCACTCACTAATCTTGTATGAGCAGATAAATCACAGCCACTATAACAATAAATACTGTGGTTGCATCCGGCTGTATCTGAGGTGCAATCTCCATCTGAAGTTTCTGAGCAGATGGGATTTCCATAGCTTCTCATTCCTTGGTGCAGTCTGAGAGCCTGTGCTTTCACCTCTCTGCTGGTGCATTAATCATGCCTTTATCTTCCTTGGCAGCCTAGAAACAGACTAACTTTGAGAACCCTACATGGCTGTTAGATTTTTTTTTCTCTTGAATAAAGTTCTTGAAGACCTTCACATGCAAAAACACATACATATTATGTGAATAGGCTCCTCATATCTTTATGAGCACCTGTCTCTGGGAATTTAACCCAAAGGTTTTACTTGCTTGGACAATTAAGGACATTAAGAAACTCTCTACTGAAATGAAATTCTTCAAAACATAACCATAGAGGAAAATCATCAGTGCTTTTTCTTACACCACACAGAAAGTCAACACTGTTTCTGAGGCTTTTACTATGAACTAAGATGAATTACAGAATATTTATATATGCATTCCTGTTTTATATATATGTATTCCTTCTCTTCTGCTGGCAGAAGACATGGATACTAAGACCCCAGTAACCACAGTAATTGAACAGTTCAGTGGTCTGATAGATCAGACTGTACGAGGCTTGAGATGCTGCTAAGGTTTTAAAGCATGTGAATAGTTTCATGAAATTATTTAAACACTACAGCTTTGTGCTTTTGTAGATTAATATATATCAATATATTTTGGCAGATGATGCTGATAAGAGTTAGAAGTTCCAGAGAAGAGGCAAAAAGCACACAACATTTTTTCCTGTAACTCCTGATCTGCAGGTTTTAAAGGTCCAAATACTTGGGAGTATATAGTCAGTTGTTGAATTAAAATTATGCATTTGTCAGTATAAACATTGAAATTGTTATTTGGACTAATTTAAAGACACACAAATAAATGCCTGAGGCTTCTTACCGAAGACGTCCTATTATGTATAGGAATGTGCAATGCTGCACACAGTACTAAAAGCTCAGCTCTGGAACTTCAGAAAAGGTAATTGGAGATTGGCACTGGTTTGGTTTCCTAATTAGCAGAAGGTCAGAAACATGCCTTTTTTAAACTGCAACAGAATGCAATATTTAGTTACTTATTACTTTAGGTTCTTCACAGTAACAAAAAATGCTCTTCCTGCAAATTAGATAATTCATTTTCATTTTTAGGGTTGCTATGCTGGAATTGGTCTGTGAATTCCGTGGTACTTACTCATACATGAAATTACAGATACCTGCTGAAAATCCATATGTAAGATGCATATAACAGAGCATAGCACCATTAGCTTTTATTTTCTCATTCTTTGGGACGTTCTTTTGGCAGACATTCGTGCACGCTATGACTTCCCAAAAATGGGAGGACTGAATCAAGTATTTTCTTCATCCTGCATATCTGCTTATTATTTTTGCTGCATGTAAGACGGGGCAGAGTTACACTGCAGCCTACTTTCCCCCCTCATTTGAAATTCCTTGGTTTCTATGGAAACAGTGAGTTCTATTGTTGTAGTTGCAACTTGGGGGATGGTAGTGCTACAGCATTTCATAAGAAGCAATAGCACAAGTTCTCTGTAACTAGATAGAAAAGTTGGCTTGGTGCATGATGCTTCTATTTGGAAATGTATTCTGTACCAATATCAGAAGTCATCTACTGACTTGATATTTAGCACCTAGATACACATTGTCATAAAATGTTTTTTTCTCTATTATTAAAATGTTTTTTGGAATTATCTGAAATCTTCAAATATGTATTTGCACTATATACACTATATATACAATATGTATTTGCTGTATATACCATTTAATGACCCAAATATTCATATTTATGATTCATTAAATCCATTGATCTATTTTTGCCAGTTGCATTATTCTTGCAGTATATAGTTGATTTGCAGAAGTGTAATTGGCATTTCTCAAGGATTTTTTTTATTTTTTTGGCCTGGACTTTCAGATACCTGCAAAAGCTGGAGGATAATATTAAAAGTAGTATGGTGGTAAATCAGCATTAAATTGATAGCTATGACTGCATGCATGCAAAATAACATATCAGTTTACTCATTATGCTGTAAGTTAGGATTATTTAAATTTCTTAATGATTTCTCTATATTATTTCTCTCTGAAAAAAACCCAAAAATAAAAACAGAAACTAAGATAGTTCTAGTAGGGAATACCTCTGTTTTCCAATTGTGAAAGATTTTATTCAGAATTTCTGGAAATAATTTCTTAACTATTTTTTAAAACCTCTTTTAGAAATCTTCAAAAAAAAAATGAAGAAGTCATAGGACCCTAAATTGTGGATCATGTAATATTTCCATTTTTGCAAAAGCCCTACCATCATAATTTAAAATATGAAAATATACAATTTATTTCTTTTTACTGGACAAACAGTGCAAAGATACCAATTTTGTCCAACTGAAATTAGATTAGCTGCCGCATTTCTAGAAGGACTTTGGTGTAAAAATCCCAGGACACTTTGAGACGATATTACATACTAGTGTCTTTCTAGATAAAATTTCGGTTTTATTTCCTTATATTTTAACTTTTTTTACAATACAACATGAATCACTAATTAAAAACTTACTTTAAAAAAAATTGCCATTAGTGAGCAAATTTATTAAAAGTAAAGTATAATTATAAGCAGAGAGCTATAATTAAGTGATACATGCCCCTGTGGTCTTTTATTTACAGAAGGTAGGAAATGGGTATTGAATTAATGTCAATACATGTGCAACCAATAGAATCATGGGAGAAGTTGTCAATAATTGTGCTCTAGGTCCAATTTGTTACTCTGTTAAACCCAAATTTTATTAATGTTAAACAAATTTTATTAATGTCTGAGAAATTTTATTTGTAATAAAAGATGTAATACATGCTTCTTCAAGAAAAAGAATTTTATTCTGGGAAATGATATCTGAAAATGTGATGGTATTGTAATGGAGCCAAAAAGAATATAATCCTGATGTGTATAAAGATGACAGTAGGACAAAAGAGATTATATTCCTTCTGACCTTGATAATGGCACAAATACTCCTAGATTTATGTGTTTCTGCCTTATATTTATAAGGGAAATATATTGAAATATTGGATAATAATTAGGAAAGTACCATGAAATATACCCATTCAGAAAGCCAGAAAATATTTTGGTGAAAAAGAAGTATTTATTTTCTGAAGAAAAAAATTCCAAAGTACAATTTTAGCAAAATAAAAGTAATGATCCTAGTTTAGATATACTTATAAGAAAAAACAATGGTATAACAAGATCCTGGGTGCTGGAAAGAGAAGCTAGGTGTGTTCAATACCAAGAAGCAATGAAAATATTTTCTGAAGTAAAAATAATTAACCACTAAAAAACTTGTCATGATCTGAGACAGATTATTCCCATTATTGAAAATAGTTATATGAAAGCTGAGAGGATTATTAACTTTTTTGAAAAATAGTCTGTAGTTCAATTTAAAAGAGAAATTAATTCAGGAAATACCTTTATGAGGAAGAAATTAGAAACTTGTAATATATAACTTCAACAGTCTCTTTTCTGCTTTTAAATAAAACTCGAGTGTCTTCAAAGTCATTGCTTTATGTTTTTCCTGCTTCCATTTGCTATATTATTATTGAGTATGTGTATGGTAGCTTGTGCAACATGTCACGTGGGGCTCCATACATCTGCCTTCCACTTCCAGTAGGCAATTCAGTAATTTAAATATTTACAAATGTATTGAATTTTTTGGTGTTCTGTAGTCTGCCTTTAGAATATTTTATTGAGGGTACCACCACATTCACCATTTCATGGAAATCCTTTGCAAATAATCTACAGGGTTCCTGTTTCTGCCATGTTTCTGTATTACCTCAAAAGATAGTCTTGCTGTTTCAATACTAACCCTTCTCCTTCTGTCCTTTTCATCTTAAGGTTTTTAAATAGCAAAATCAAAACTTCATGGTGTGTAACTACTCAGAAATAGGCTCCATCAGATGAAATTTAAAGTTCTCATTTTCCAAGCTGGTGCTTTTATCTCTCCAATAGCTGTCGTTTACCAACAGTCCAAAGCCATTCATGTAACACTGTGGTCAGAAATCATCTTTAAGCTTTTGACAGACGAGCTGAATTCAAGATATACTCTTCTGATTTCCTTCTGCAGGCAATTTATATGTCATGGTTATCAGAAAGGTTGTGTATTACAGGAACCTTGGCTATGATGGAGGGCTTACTTGAAATTTTAGCAGTCATTAAAAGTGACATTTGTGGAGTGGTTGCAAGATTTCTTTAAAAGAGGACAGCTAAAGAAATATTTGGTATTTGAACATCAGTCTGAAAAGTCTGAGCATCAAGACTGTCCAGGCACTCTTTCCTAGGATTTCATGGTTTTTAGATTAGAATTGTTTTATAACATAAGTAATTGAATGAGCTATAATTTACCCACTCATAAGAAATATTAATGCAAGATATTTTTTAATATCTTTATAAACATTAGGGCTAATCATATTGTGAGGGGGAAAAGAAAGCATTTAAATTACTTTTTAATATGAACAAAATGTAAATCCAGTGTAAACAATGACAACGTAAGAAAATAAAAAAATACAACACCAACAGTATCTATCCCATGTTATATATTTAATGTCATAAATCTAACAATTAACATAATCTGAGTGCAACATATTCAGCTAGACTCCTTAGTTCCTACTAAAATCCCTTTTCAGCTCAGCCCTAGCATTCTATAGTGTGAAAGGTAAGGATAAGTTTATTAAATAAATATTTAAGTGCAGTTATATTATCCCTCTAATTTACTTTATATGTGTGTGGTGCTACAAACTTTACTGTTAGAATTCCATTTGATGCAGGCAAGAATGTACGGAAATAAGATGAAAATAATGCATCAACACTCCAAATCACATATTAATAATGACAGTTCCTCTTTTCCTTTCAGTGCAGACTATTCAAATCAAAAGACCCTACTGAGAAACCTGCATTAAGAGTTTTCTTCAGTAACTGAATGTTGCTGTGCTGATGTGTCCTTTCCTTGGGAAGAGCAAAGACAGAAGAGACTTTTGAAATGACCACTCGGTTATAGCATAAGCCCAGCACTCAATACTCCTATTAAGTCAGAGCTGTTCATAAAAGTTTTCTTTTTCAGACTTCTGTTGAACTTAGTCCAATGAAAGCAATTCTTTAGGAAAACAACACATAAATGCTTTTTTTTTTTGCCCTGTAAGCTTCTTTCTTTCAGTGCAGTTCATATACCTCATGCTCCCCTCTTACTAGTTTCAGAAACTGATGTGTAATTTTGCTCCTTTGATGTGTATTTTCAGCCAGGTTAGAGATATGTTCTGTTGTGCTGTGTCCATAAAATAAATATGATCTGTGCTGAGCTCTACAAACTTTATCAGCCTCATAGAAGCTAAAAGCAAAAAGTCAACTACAAGCATAACTGGATTTAGTAGTGAATGTTTTTCAATTATGTTAAATTCATCATTTTACCCTTCAGTTGTTCTTCCTTATTTAAAGCTCTGCTAGTCTGAAATCACATGTTCTATGTTGATATATATTAACCAAGGATCAAGATAACCCACTTGTCATCTCCCCAGTAACTGAATGTCTTCAAAATGTCTTCTTTGCTTTGTACTAATCTGATATAATTAGGTTTACTTTCTGCGATAATTCGTACATGCTCTATTGTTTCAAGAACTAGAAAGACAATCTCTCAGATAATAAAAGTCAGCACTGCAAAAGCTGCTTGAATGGAATTTGCAGGAAAAGGGATTGTGTAGGACATCTGTGCACAAAGAATAGGTCTTGGAACACCATTTGAAAGCAGATTACATTTCTTAGTCTCAGTCTGGAACAGAGTGGAACCAACTATGTTTGTCACTTTCTGAAATGAAATTCTGTGATGTCATTACTCAGAGAAAAATATGTTCCATATAAGTGACAAATTCACCATTTCCAAATCCTCATAAGTGACAAGAT